ATGTGTTTGTGTGTCTTCATTGTTAAACTTATGTGTGATGTTATGGGAAAAATATGTGTTTGAATTAAGACGACATTTGGCAACAGTGCATGCCGAATCCCCAGTTTGAGGAGCGCATAATAACTAATTTGAATATAAAATTAAGTTTTTCTACAACAATGAAAAAAGTGACTTGCCCTTGTCATCTCTATCTTCCTTCTAGACTTATCGGCATAATTTAGGAGCACTACTATACACATGCAGTAGCCCCGACAATTTTTTTTTAAACTAGTACATATTTTCTGTCTATAGACTGTGTTAATGTTACGATAAACACACTTAAAAATCAATCCTGTTGCTCCCATTTTTTATATAGAGATATATTTCAGTGTTAGATCATGCCCATTTAGATAACATTGATAACATAATAGACCCTATTATTTTGAGAGCCTGAAAAACTGCCATAACAATTTAGATAGTACACAAGTTTATCTTATAAAAACGAAATGTAAATTATTCCGAAAATAGCGCCAAAGTTTGTGTAAGAGACGTCGACTACTGCATAATTGCAACCAAATTTTCGCAAAAGACAATGTGTTGACATTTTGAGTTTCTCGTATCCGATTTATAATTAGGTACATAATGTTCTGAAATTATATTTTAGCAAAAAAAATAACTTCGTCCAAGTTTAGTTGTAAATGAAATTTTGTTCAGAAACAGTATCAAGTTTAACAACTTTATAGGACAGAAGCTTCACTGAAGACTTATACCTCCCCTCCCATTTTTCGCAAGGGTCGTCTTTTGCACTTCGATAGAAAAAAAAAGAGAGAAAGATCGATACGGTTAATTTCGCAAGTTTGGATTCCACTCCGAACCCTCCCAGTTGCGTGAGAACATTTAAATTTGATGCTAATTACTTTCTGTTTAGATTTTTTACATCCCCTTTTAATCCGGCAATTTTCTGAATGAGAATAAATTAAATCAGAATAAAACCTTTGGGAAAGGGGAAATAAATATTTGATGAACAAATTATACGTAAATATAGAAGAGAAAATCAAAGAAAAATTCAAAAAGATGCTACTACTATAACGTAGCAAAAAAGTTGGTCAAAGAAGATAATAAAAAATATTTTAATCATTCTTACAAATGCAGTGTCCTAAACACATAAAATATTTTCTTTGTATATGTACCATTGACGTCAAAATATAAATAAGATTTTAACTCCAAACTGGAAGGAAATCCTCAGCTTCTAACATAGGAATTGATATTAAACGAGAAAATTATGAATAATTTGGAAAAGCGAGTACTGTCCCAATTTTAGTCAAAGAGGGGATTGGATACAGGGCACAAAAACAGTCGAGCAAACCTTTACATACGTTTGGATTTGGAGTATCTTGGAAGATGATTGAAACCATGAGGGAGACTACCAAAATATAAATAAAAATCACACTAAAACAGAAAATAGCGTGGTGTAATCATTAACTCAAATCAACCCAAGATCGTTTATAATTTTATTTTCAAAGTAATTAATAAGTAATTTCGTATTAATATTAATTTGTCTATGGTTCGAATTATTTTATATAATAAATTTTAAATTAGAAACATTATCAGCAGTTAATAAAGAAAAGTTCAAAATTGAATTGAAGTGAATTTTTCTATATTAGGTATTCCTGAATGAAAGCATGCCCCGACTTGAAATCAATTTAAGAAACGGCCCATTAAAAGTTTTGGTGGAGGAATTAACATTATGCAGTCACGAATGGGAGCGACCCGTTCAAACTCCCAAACTTAAATTGTTCCTGGCATCGCCCCCTTTTAATTTTCGAACGTCATTTGTACCCGTTGATGGCATGAAACCGACGCGCAACTTGTTTTGCAAAATAAATGCCAAATTAAATTTGATGGGGACGGAGACGTCTTTTCACATTTAACCGAAGCCTTGTTTAACCACTTTTTTATAACTTACTTAAGTATTATGATAAAACAAAAACAACCAGTCAAATTGCAAATTACTCATAATTCGAGTAGTACGTCGGCATTCGTCCAAATTTTGACGTTTAGGGCTATAGAAGTTTTGGGGTTTGAGAGTTTCGAGGACTGGAGATTTCAATATTTAGAAGATTCGAAATTGGAAGTTTCGAGATTTGGAGATATTGATATTTAGAGGTTTAGAGGTTTGGAGGTTACAATATTTAGAGGTGTAGAGATTTGAAGATTTCGAGGTTTGGATGTTTCGAAGTTTGAAGATTTAGAAGTATTATTTTTTTTTGTATTTGTAAAACAGCATTAAAAAGATGAAAAGATGCATAAAATTCTAAGTTCAGAATAAAATAAGAAAAATATAGGTTTTTCTCGAAACCGTAAGTCGAAAAAAAAATCCGAGTGTACAATAAAATTCTCTGAAACAACAAAGTGCTCTAAAACTTCCCCCATTGGACTGTTTTTCTATCTGTTATATGTAGTTTCCAAGACCCTGATATACGACTGAGCAAAATCTGGGTCTGGGTATATTCAATGCAAATTCAATCAGCTTTTTAATAATAATGTGGGTAAATGTAAGCAAACTTGAACCCGATTTAGTTTGCGAAAATACCACCTAAATGATTCGACCCTATTTATTATCCAAACATAACAAGTGTTTGTTTTCGCGTGTGTTTGGTGTTTACCTGTCATCGCCGCTCGAATCAGGTTGGAGAAAATATTGAAGGCATCTACGGATTGTTTATCTTGGAATGCCGCTCGATTTACTGACACAGTTTCGTTTTTATTTTTAATCATGCCGTGCATAATTATTAGTGAAGTAAGTATAGGTAAAATATCAATTTCGTTTTTATCAAAAATTGGTTTAATTTAAATTTTTCCTTTTTCAATGAATTGATAATAATAAATTTCACATTCTGCCGTAGATTGAACAAGAAGAGGTGGGGCACCCCAAATTTATTGAATTGAAATATAATATTAGAGCATTATGCATTTTATAGGAGGAATTTTAATATTTAAGTTTGTCTACGATTATTTTCAACTTCTTCGCGGTTTTCCTACCTAGTGTACAATGCTTACTACCTACGCCACTGGTAGAAAGACATATTTAGCAAATTAAATGTTGCAGCATAATGGGATAGTGCGATAATATGTACTAGGTATGTACTATAATATGTAATAAGAAAATAATACAACTGTCTCGAAGACAAACGGTGTTATTCAATGCGGGCCAATAACCAGCTTTCTCTCCACTTATTAGTCGCATTATTTAGATTTTAAAATATCAAAACTAATAAAATATAAACGTTTTTCACTGAAACATATTAAATAATATCCATATAAAAACGATATTCACATTTTTCGGCATTTTTATGGGAACACATGAATTTTGTGATCTAATATACAGGGTGCTTGTGAAATAAATGTGTTCCTTCGAAGGAGTAATAGAAACAATTTCATATGAGTGGGGTGTAATTAGCTTTGTTTTCGATAGAATTTTTCTAAATATCTCTGAAGATGTTTGATGTAAACTGACGATACTTGAGCCACTGATTTATTTGAGTAGTAGGAGCAAAAACCCGCTAAGTTGACTTACAAAACCTGTCAACCAGTGGCGGAGATACCAGTAGTCTCAGTACTACTACGAACCTCAAAATTTCTACGCCAATGACTATTCTGCAAATTAGGTCAATTTTTAGGGAAAACGATTTTGTTGGAACAACAAACTGTTTGAGCTTACAACACCAGAGTAAATAGAAAATAACACTACAATTGTTCGTTTACGAGAATTTTTCGTTGGAAATACAAATATAATATAATGTATCAAAAGTTTAAAAACTCAGTTGCTTGGAATTTGTTTTTTTTTTTATTTTAAGAAAATATCAAAATTGCTACGCCAATGTGTTTATGAACTTTTGACACATTACGCTGTATTTAAACTTGTAGGTACTTCTAACAAAAAATTATCATAAACTATTTTCCTGCAGTGAATAATTTTATATTATACAGGGTGTTCCCTTCTTAAACGTATTGATTTTAATAGTTGATAGAGAACTTGATTTTGAACGAAAAAGTTCATTGAATAATGTTATCGTTGTTTAATTATGACAGTTGTTGCCAACCATTTTTTCCACATGTATCGACAATAAATTAGAAAATATATATTTAAGAAATAATCGGTTATTAATACAAAGGGTCAGTGATAATTCAGCAAACAGAGATCATTGGGGTCTCAACATTTGGTCCTTCGAGCCGGATTTGTGATTAGCGTGGTTTGGTAAACATTTGGCCCTTACATTGAGACGAATAAGTGTGGTAATATTCGAGCGGCATCGCAGGAAACCGAATTGGAGAAGTTGGACACTAGCAGCGACGTCAGCAGACCTCTGACCTATGAACTATTCACTACAACCACCAGTGGCGTGATGGAAGGGTAGTCAGTGACACATTTTTAAACAGAATTTCTACGCTTATGATTTTTTTTTAAGTTTTATAACATTTTTCAAATGTCAAACGAAAAGCTGTCCTTGTGAAATTGTCACAAAAGTAAAAGGTTTTAGTGCACATAAAGATTATATAAAATTTTAATTGATTCAGACAGCGACGTCAAAAATTTCTTGAAATTAAAAAAACTTACGGGCGTGGAAATTCTATTTAAAAAAAACGCTGACTACCCGTTGTAGTGAATAGATTGCAGTGTGTTAGTACTTGGGGGTTTTCTAGGTATCACGAAAAAAGTTTAAAAAAATTAAATTAGACACCCTGTATCTTAGAAAGCGATCTACGACCTGCGTTCACGTGAACTTTGTTTTTCAAAACGAAGTCCCCTGTCAACTGTTAATGTTAGTACGTTTAAAACGGGAACACCCTGTACATCTAGTTAATTTCGATGAATTTTTAATACCTAGTCGATATCGTTAACGATCTAGGTGCTATTTTTTTTCTATAAAAAAAAAAACAAAAGTGAACGTTTGCCTGTTACATCTGAAAATAACCAGGAATCCGCATACGTTTAATGCTAGGCCCAAACCAAAACTTACGTTGGCGCCGATGTGTGGTTGGTGAGTGGCACGCGGCGAATTCAACACATCCCGCCGACCTGTTTCGCGCCGCACGACTGACTCGGCCAACAAGTGGCGTCCCCGCTGACCCGAGAGGAATGCGCGACGGCGGAGACTGAAGACGCGCCGTCCGGCATAGCACGCGTCCGGACGCCCGCGACGCGCGTCTCTTCCGGGGATGTCGAGCGCGACACGTCCTCATAGAAGCCCGCGCTTCCGACGGACACCGCCGTTGTTTATAGAGCCGTGTTTGATGGAGGCTAATAATCCGCTCATATTTTTTTGAGCCAATATATTCAAACATTTAAAAACATTGACATTCTACGTCTCTTCGTTTTGGAAATATTTTAGTCGAGGAAATAAAGCACTAAAAACGGCATTACCTCCGAAATCTGTGCAGTAAGATGGATCGTGATACAGTTTTTTTGCATTCGATTCGTTAGAGCGTCCCTATGTGATCAATGAGAAATGAAAATTGCATCGGTGCATAAGAAAAATGCATTTTTAAAATTGCATCTCGAAGAGTTGAAATAGGAAAAATTTATAACTCGGAAAATATTGACGGAAATGAGTTCAATTTTGCTACTCGGGGGGTTTTTGGGTAAGTTTATAACGAATTTCCACGAAACTCCAGGAGACGACGTGGAAACCGGCCACCCTGGGCACTAGGTATCTCGGAGACCGTTGCCGCCGTGATATTCGTGTTCAGCGACCCCAAAACCCATGAGTAGCAAAATTGAACTCAATATTTTCCGAGTTATAAATTTTTCATATTTTAACCTTTCGAGATGCAATTTTAGGAATGCATTTTTCTTATGCACCGATGCAATTTTCCTTTCTCATTGATCACATAGGGACGCTCTAACGAATCGAATGCAAAAACCGCATCTTATAGATTTCGGAGGTTCAGTATTTCTGAGTTATTTTTATTAAAAAATACGTTTTTCATTAGTTTTTCTCGAATAAGTCGAAAAATAGATATTCTATGAAAAAAGACACGTAGGAAATGAAGCTTATAGAAAAAGAAAAAAATTGAGTTTTTTTTTCAATTTTAGGTACTGAGATACGGCTGGTTGAAGATAATTTCATTTCCGCCAGAAACTAAATTGGAAGCATTTAACGTAAAATAACTAAAAAATTCTATTTTTCAAGAAAAATGCACCGAACATTTTTTAAAGTACTTTAAAAAATCTTTAAAATGAACTTGACTTTAAGTCATTACCATAAAAATTAACAGAGTTATGATCAAGATGAAACTATTAATTCTCTATTTCGGAAAAAAAATCAGTACAAAAACCGGTGAATATTTCACGAGATTTAAAATTAAAGGTAATCTATCTACAATTTACATTTTTTATGTGCTGACAATATATTATACAAGTTTAAGCGGATTAGAATGCATATTTTTGATATTACGTTTTCATTGAAAAAAAATAAAATTATTCCAAAAAAAAAACATATTTTTAAAAATAAAAAAGATACGAAAAATATTCAAGAGTACCTACAAAAGTTTAGATTTTTCTTCACAGAATATTTTGGTTTCATTTTTATTTGTGTACGATAAAAATTAACAGAGATGTCGCTGCTAAAAGTTTGCAGTTGAGGGCGAAGGTCATGTTTTTCAAACCCTTTAACCTCAAAAATCTTTAAAATAACGCGTTAAAAAATATTCAATCTTACAGTACTTCTAGCTGTCGAAATGTCCGTAAAATCGATTTTGGATCGTCTTTGAATATTGCAAAAATTAAAGTAAATCGCGCAAAAGTTATTACGAAAAAAAATTATAATTCATTTTAAATAATTTAAAAGCCATTTTTTTATATTGTCATTCTGTGGGGGGGGTTAAGGGTTAAAACAATGCGATAAATTATAAATTGTATTATAAACAGGGAAAAGAATTTAATTTATTCTGTGTGTACTATCAAATCAGTTCAAATTGTTAAAAACTATTTTTTTTTTAATATTTTGTTATTAGGGGTACTTCTTTAAGGGTTGAAATATTGTAATAAATTATTTATATTACCCTAAACTATTGAAATGGTTTCTATCTATAATATATGCGCTATAAAAATATTTTAAGCTCAAAGAAACTATTAATTTTAAATTTTTATCATTAAGGGTGGTTTTTAAGGGTTGAATCTTTATAAAAATAACGTAAATTATAATCCACAATATAAAACAATATTTATTATTTTTTTTAGCATAAGGGGTGGTTTTCATCCCCTAAAAATAAGAAGCGCATATCAACCATATATAACTTTTGATCTACAGGGTGAAATAAGCTTAATTCCAAATTTTCATAAAAATCGGATCTATCCGAAAGTATTCGGAGGTTTTACCCTATTTTTCTTTTCGTTCCCTGGACTATTAGGAAAAAGCATTTCCTGCTTAGTTCTTTGTTTATCTTTCAAAGGTCCCCATAGCAATATTAGTATTATTATTTAAAACAGTTTTTATAAAATTTTAAATAAAAACACCACCACATGAATCGTTTGATCACTGCTTTGAAATTATGACATTTTGACTTCTCACAGAGAGAAGGCACTTTACTAATAAATAAAAAAAAATAATCCTATCTAAGGAAACTCTTTTTCTGAAATAGATGCGGCTAGTCTGAAAATTACCACGAAAATTAAGTGACACTGTCTAAATTTTATCGTACAAATTAATCAACATGGATCTAGTGACACGTTGATGATCATGATGACATACACTTATTTACAGACACGAATAAGTCGCATTATTTTTTCCAATTTTGGAAAAGTTTTTGGAAAGTTTACAAGTATAAAACTTTTACAACTACGTACTTCATATTATCATACGGCAAATACATAACATCGTAGAAAAATGGCTTCACATCATGGACATGGTAAATCCTTTGTAGCCAAATCCATCCCCGTCCCAAAGCAGACAGATGTGGTTAGTATGGACGACATACACAGTAAGTAATAAATGATTTTGTTCTAAGTAATCTAACTATTATGCGCTAATTGGAGAGTCTGGGTTTCTTATTTTTAGTTATGGGTTTAGTTTTTGTTGACTATATAGTTAGTTTTCCAAAATGTAAAAAATGCCGTGGTTTTTTAATATAATTATAATTATAACAGCTCGTTTAATATAAAAATCTAAACGATTTCTGACATGTGAATATAGTTTATGCTTTGTGCTTGACAATCAAAAGTTGGCCTCAAATTTATATGTATTTTTTACACGTATAATGTTCATGCTACGAATTTATTTTCGGTTAATTAGAGAATTAACGCAAATTTTGTGGATCCAAACCGCGGTCACGTATTAAATCAAGTTGAGGGATACTTAATTTCATAGATATAGATTCTAATTGATCCAAAGAAACGTATTGAAAAAGAAAAATTTCAAAAAGTGGAAATTAAGTAACCCTTTACAACTAACAAAGTAGGAAGTGCAAAACAGCGTTACAAACAAATTGTCGCAGGATCAGACAAATACCGCTCGGGAATTCGCTCTTTTTGCCTTAAATACACCTTATTTTTAAGGTATTTTTTTTAAAAATGACCTATGCCTTTTTGCTTTAACGGCTTCTGAATAACATCAGAAATGATAATTTTTCTATGGAAATAAAAAAAATCGTGGGCTTAATTGTTATTGCAAAAAAATATAAAGAAATAGCAAAAAAATTCATTTTTTTCTTGGATTTCTCGTCGACAACTTAGCAACTATTCATTTTAGACAAAAATGGAAGAGGAAAAAAAGTTTTATAATTAAATTTTGAATAAGATAGAGTTAGTTGCAATTCGAGAATTCAGATCGGAGTAGCTGTGTGTTTGCTCCCTCCACCATTGATACCTCTTTGATTTCACGCGGTCTCGAATATATTTGAGTGACCTTTTAAATGGGACGCCCGTGATTGCAAATTTTGAAAATTTATATCTGGAAAGTACTCGGAATGACAAACCTATTAGTTCAAAAAACAGCCCTTATACCCTTATAGTTTTGCTGTAAATAAGGGTTAATTTTAACGGGCTATAACTATAAAATAATGGACGCATCATCAGGTTTTTTTTAAATACTCGTCTTTCCGAGTACTTTCAGACCATATTTTAAAATTAAAAAAAATTGAAAAAAAAACATTAAATTATTGCAATTTAATTTAATTTAATAAGCGTGAAAATTGCGAAAATGTTTAAACAACCACCACGGCTCACCTAATCGTCCGATTTGAATTTTTCAAAAAGCATTTTAAAGCTTGAGAGCTTTTCTTTTTGTGGTGAAATTTTCAAGTATTCAAAGGCTTTAGATTTTTAGAAATTAGATTTTGAATATTATGTAAAAACTATCGAACCGAATTGGATGAAATTTGGTGTGATGATTCTATACACTAAGAAGTTTAATTGGGAAAAGTATGAAGATCCTAGGTATTATTCAAGTATCTGAAAAAATTGACAAATAAACTAGCATTTTTTGCAATTTTTTAAGATTTTTCCGATTTTTGCAATAACAATAATTATTTTTTCGAATTGCAGCTAACTCTATCTTGATCAAAATTTAATTACAAAACTTTATTTCCTCTTCCATTTTTGTTTAAAATGAATTGTTGCTAAGTTGTCGACGAGAAATCCAAGAAAAAAATGAATTTTTTTGCTATTTTTTCATACTTTTTTTGCACATAACAATTAAGCCCACGTTTTTTCATTTGCATAGAAAAATTATCATTCCTGATGTTATTTGGAAGCCGTTAAAGCAAAAATCTCCGATCATATGCGTTTTACCAAAGTATACCCCTTTTTAAAACAGATACCGCCTGGATTAGATATTAACTTTTAAAATCAACATTTAGTAAATAAACAATTAGTTGCAAAAAACAAACGAAACTAATTAACAAATATCTGGGGTAACAATTTCAAGGTAAATCGAATCGAATTTTGGATCGATCGTCTTTTCGATAAGTTTCATCAACATCCATCGCTTTTTGCAATAATAATGAGCAATTTTCGAAAACTGGTATTTCCGCGTTCGACCTTTATTTTACAGTTAACAAATTACTGAAAATTGACTCTAGGTACCTTAAATTGTAGATACAACATAAAATAACTAATATTCCGATAGGTCGT